ATTGTAAGGAAAATCTGTTCATCAATATATCATACGACCCTTGATTTTCAAGGCGCCGGAGCACCATCTCTGTTACTCTTTCATTCATCCCATATATCATACGACCGTCGCTCCCTGAGCAACGCGCCGGAGCAACGCCCAAAATCCACCATCAACACCATCATTAAACGGCCTTGTAGCTTAGGCCGTGAACCTGACGGTCGAGATCAGTTCCTCTCTCGGCCACAATCGTTTGATTAGAAGTCGAACCCAAACAGGCGCACCACTTAACCATTTCATTTACATCACCATCTCGACGCACGGTAGACCGTGCTGGCACGCCCGCGCACAACCGCACAGCACCCAAAAGAAGGAAGCCACGTGTTAACGCATATCCCATCGGCCCGGAGCTCCAGGCCGTGAGATTTGCGCAGCCAACAAAGTGGAAAATTGAAAAGAAGAAATTGATATATTTCAATTGTTTGATATCTTAAACATGGAACTTCTTTGGCTTCCCAACGTCTATCTCAATGTCAATACCGCAATATTTTATTAAGTCTTTGTGGTCTCTATCTCTCGAAAGAGTTTCTCTGAGTGACATTGAGTACCAAACAAAACAAAAGAGCCTAGTTAGCCAAATTGAAAGATTGATTCTCATTAGATTACCTCATCCGTTATCTAAAACTCCATTAGAAGCATCAAAGAAAAAAGATAGTAATAATATTTTTTTCTCATTAAGATAAGCATATAATAACAGAAAGGAATGACAATTTATTAAAACACACAAGTGATGATTAAATTTACTTTTCATGCTATAGTATCGTGCATGAGGTTATACATGATACATGATTCCCTGGTAACTGATCTCATTCAAAGAAAGGTTAAACAGACGCAATAAACCGTGTTTTCTTTGACCTCAAAGTTAATAGGGGGTGATTGATGAAAAAAGGCAGGGTTCAAATCCCTACTGAAGTTCCTATTATCTTCTTGTTTTTCTTCAATGTTTCCACGCTCCCAACACGAATAAAAGCAAAAGAAAAAGAAAAAACACATCTTTCCCTCCTTCCATCAACAAGGTTCATTTAGAAAAGCAACTTACAGCGCAAAGCAACCAATCACATGAGCCTCATGTGCCTGATGTGATTTAGGGTTGTGAGACCGCAAGGTATCACAATCAAAGAATCGAGTAGCCACGAGTTTGACTTCCCTTTTGACCACTTCCGTCTTCGGTGTGAGTTCATACGTTAAGATAACAACATGCATATTCTCATAATAACGAACGGGTGTATTCTCATAATCACGAACGGGCGGGAATGAAGTCATAATAAAGTAGACTTTTGGACCTCTTGCGTGCACAAACCTAGAGTAGTAGGCATAATTAAATTCAAGAGGCATAACTGGCAGCTGCAGAGTTGTAATAGTTTTCGAAGAATCATCATCAGAAACAAGGTAGACTACAATCTCCCTAGGCGAGTATCGGAGATAATGATAGGTGAACAGGAAAGACTCGTTATAATGTTCCACGGACAAAGCAGTTCCATGAAAGCCAAAAGGACCACCGGAAAACAAAGGACCAGAAGCAGCGAGTGTTTTCCATTGTGCGTCGTCTTTGGCGACGTCAAAGCTAAGCACCCCGGGAGAATGGGGAGTGGTCGAGACAAGGATTCTGGTGCCCATAGTTGCATAAGATAAGTATACACCATCTCCAGCATAGTGATCGGAGTCAGGATCGAAAATGTCTGGTGGAGGAAGGTCCTTCCATTCCTGGTCTTTGTCTTCCGGGTCGAACACCTGGAAATATGGAGGTTTTAGGTGACATCCACCGCCAAAATAACCGGAGAGAGCATAGAGTTTCCCCTTCAATTCCACCAGCAGGGGTTGAGCTTTTGGTGAGAAATTCTTAGACATATCATCTCGTACTCTCACTTCAGTAGTTTGATCGGTCTTATACAGAGGTGGTCCGAATCGCACGGGTTGAGCTTTTGGTGAGAAATTCTTAGACATATCATCTCGGGCTCTCAATTCAAGAGTTCGATTGGTTTGATTGGTCTCGTACGCATGAAGTTGTTCATACAGAGCTGGTCCGAATCGCTCATAACAGGAATCGGAGAGAGACCAAGAACGGGGAGGGATACGGGGTTTCACGCCGCCTGCGAAAAGAATTTTGGATCGGAAAACACCGCAACCCATGAAGCCGGGAAGATCCTCGCTAGCCATAGAAGCCAGATAGTGTAATTCACTACTGCCTTTGGAGCAACTCGGGCATTGGTCTATGGATGTAAAATCCCAATCTTTAGGTTTGCGATGGAGCCAGGATCGTGATGGTGATTCCAAATCGCTGCAGGAGCATGATGATGATTCCAAATCGCTCAATTTAATGGCATGGATAACGTAAGAAACGACTGTCTGCTTCAACTCCATTGAACATATGTACAAGTACTCTTGTCCCGCCAGATCTTCCATGCCGCCAAAGCCACCGCCTTCAATCCCCTTTTGCTGGCTGTTGCTACCGCCTTCATTCACCTCGATCTGGCTGTTGTTCCGCTGCCCCGTTTGTTCGTCATTCTAATTGCTATAGTGCTAGGTTTTTCGATTTCTCAAGTGTCTCTGGGTTTGCTTTTATTTATTTCTTTTTCTTTTAGTTACACGTAAGATGTTTCATTTGGGCCACTACTATCATGTATTCACTTCTTCTGACCAAAAAAAAAAAAAAAATCATGTATTCACTTCTTAATTAATACTAGCAAAAGGTGCCCGCGCGATGCAGCGGGTTTTAAAATTGTGTGAAATGTGTATAAAGCGATGAAAATAGGCAGGGAGCAACGTTCTATTTATATATATATGACAATGTAAATAGTGCCATCGCGGTTAGTTTTCCAAGTTTTAGTTACAAAAGATAAATTAATAACATGTTTTATATGATGTTTAATATCTTAAAATATTGGGTATATTTTAATAGATCAAGCAGCTATAAAAACATCAAAATATGAGAAGTTTTGAGCTGTGCATTGTTCAAAATAGCTTGTACAATTGTCAATTGACACTATTAGCTAATTCCTGTGCTCTACTCACAAAACTTAAAACAATCAATTGGAATTTCAGCCTAGAAACTCACCTCCTGCTTAACATAACCAAAAACACCAACCAAACTGCTCTATCCAAAGCAACAAAAGACCACCTGCAAAATATCAAAAGAAAACATGATTTAGAAAAAAGAGAAGAAAAAGGAAGAAAAACAGAAAAAATGGAGAAGAAATTAGCTTGGGTGTTTTATACATGCACAATCTTTTTATAAAACCAAAAAAATTAGCCTGAGCAAAATCTGCATGGAAAGACTCAAGACTACCCAAATTAATGTGTTTTGGGCAAAGAAAAACAGTATAAAAACACAGGCAAAGGGCTGTTTAAATGATCCTAGATGCATTTGAAACAAAGAATATATGATCAAAAGTTACTGGTCTAAACAATCAAAAGTTACCTATGCAAAAGTCCCCCTAAACAATCAAGATTTTTTTATATTTTTCAATTCCATTTTTCTGTTTTTCCCTTTTTTTCCCTTTAAATAGATATCAACATTTCATACTCTAATTCAACAATTGAGTCTTCTCAAAGTTCTAACAATCTAAAGATCAAGCTCTAATTTTGCACTAAACATGTATGTCTGAAAATCAACCCAAAACATCAATCAAATGAAACCAAAGGCAGTTTATAACCACTACATGTCCTTCTTCATGTTAAAAAAAAGCTCCCTTAAAAAAAAAAATTTCAAAAAGCTTCAGCACACACGAAAAGGCATTAATATATAATCAAAAGCAATATAATGTTGTTATCACTCCTATCAACAAACTCTCCAAATACACGATATCTTTCATAAATTGAAAGCAAAAAGTCAAAAATATTAATATGTCTCTAAGCACAGATCATATAGGAAAGAGTTTGTCATTGGTTCAAACCACATAACAATCACTTAGCTTTATTTACAGCTGTACAACCATAGCAATTAGTTCAAATTTATCCCAACCAATTGGCAATTGCTTCCATTAGCTAATTACCATCCTCTATTCACAGAACCGAAAACAATAAATTGGAATTTCAATATAGAAACACACCTCTTGCTTAGCAGAACCAAAAACAACCACCAAACAACTCTATCTAAAGCAGCAAAACATCACCTACAAAACATCAAAAGGGCAGCAAAGAGCCCATTAAATGATGAACTTGACCACTAATTTTAAAAATGTAAGGGCTTGATCCGTTGTTAATTGACTGATCAACTTTGGCTCCCATCGAAGTAAATGCAAACATAGAATTATACACCCGAATGTTCTCTCTGAACAACACACTTTTTTGGCCTTGATTTGGATCGAGTAAGCTTTCTAAAAATAGGGGTGTTGGTTTTGGAATTGGAAGTTTAATCTTTCCTTATTGGCAACAAAGAGTGAAAAGAGGCTCATTGTTTTTCGATTTTTGTTTAATGGATTCTTTTGACCAAAAAAGTGCACCACAGTAAATGCACTTATAATTCTTGTCTCCCAAATCCACATATCCTTCAATAGTTCCTATAAAGAAAAGAAATGTGGAATGAAGAGAATAGAAGACACAAACGGAGGTTATCAACAATAGAACAATATAGTTCAAATTTAGGAGAAAAAATTCAAGTAAAAAAGAGAACCTACTTTGCCTATTTCTCTGAAAGAAGGCCTGACCCCCACTGATTTGATCAGAATGAGCGAATTCAATCTCATATGCAGTTGTTTCAACTGCGTTCATATTGCCGTATGATATATTTTGAAC